TCTCTCTCTCTCTATATATATATATATATATATATATATATATATATATATATATATATATATATATACACAAAAAAAAAAATTATACTAGTTTTATACACTTTTTCGGCTATCAAATGTAAATAATTTCTGGCGCGGGCTAAAAGTGATAATACCCCTAAATATAACATCGTAAATATATCTATCCATACTATTTTATAAAAGTAAATCTAACGTTATAAATTAAACTCAAATGGAAAATATTTTATACTTGATGATTCCTAACTATACGATATAAATATAGATATGTATAAACCTTTCTGATTATACTATACATTAATATATGAGAGTCATTATTGTTATCTATTTCTTATACAATATGCCGAGACATTCTGATATATCACCAACCATTGTTAGGACTAAATGTGAGCCAAAACACTTCGATATATCACCTCCCCCTGTTCATCAAGATTGAAAATACGAGTGCGGAGCTTAAGCCCTTTCAGCATATTTATTCCTTTCTATTAATCTTTTCGTAATAACAAAATATTTTCGCCAGTCAATTATGCCAAATCTAATTAACTCTCTATGCTCGTTAGTTATACGATTATCTTCGACTGATCTATTGAGTTCATCATTCAACATAAATCTCATAATTTGAATGATTAAACGATGACTGTATGCTATTTAAGGTGGCGAATTGGTAATAAATGATTTTCCTTTTAGGTTGGTTGTACAACTCGTGGAGAACGCGAAGTATTGAATTCTTTTTTTTAGTTATTGAAGAGTTAAAAAAATGACAACATAATCAACTTATTACTAAGAAAAACTACAAAGTAATTAGTTTCTTATATTTGTCATCGTACTATTTTGTCTAGGTGACTTGTATAGGATTTAGTATACATACATACATACATACATATATATATATATATATATATATATATATATATATATATATATATATATACGGTTGCGCTCAACCGAGTATAAGTATTTCATTAACAACTTCCATTTCAATTCCATTAGCAGCTTAAATCATCTTTTTTGGCCTACCTCTACCCCTCCTCACACCTCCTAAGGCCAACCTCTCACATCTCCTGACAGGGGCATCTGCGCAGGCTTCATACTCTGCCATGTTATTGGTGTAGGGAAATCTGAGTTTGGCAGATACCGGATCTCCCTTTTTCTTCTTTTAGTTTAAAAAGGTGGCGGCAAAGCAGCTTAGAAGAACAGGGTAACTATTGCAATACGCAAGAATAACCACGAGAAAGTAAACATGGATGAGTTATGAAAACAGTAAAATATAGCATGACTGAGTACAAGTATAAAGTCAAAACAGTGAGGAAATATCAGTAAAAATCTAGAAATCGGCCCTGAGATTATTTGGGTCGGTTGTTGGGTTGGTGTGGCTTCTAATCGGCCTTCAGGCTCTTTTAAGCTGACGACAATGGCCGTCACCGCCTGCTATTATCAACTACCACCACCACTATACTCGACCAACACCATCCTCAACCATAGTCGTCACCACTACCACCACCACCAGGGAGAAATTCAAAAATCGCCAGATTTATAAGTGGTCATTCAAAAATAGCCACAGTTTCCTACATGTCCATAATAAACTAGTCTTTAGGAGTGAACTAGTCTCTAGGAGTTAGTTATTTTCAACAGATTTTGTGCTGATTTTTAGGTCTTTTAAGTTAGTATTTCTCTTATAAATTGTATTCCAATATATGCTCGATCACCGACAGTCTCCTCTCCAAGGTCAAGGAAGATTGGAGAGGAGACTAAACCCTAAACCCTAAACCCTTCGAGTTCGATGGCCCATTTTGCCAATCGACCTGATAGCTCAGGTTTATGCAGTATACTCCGGAGGGGATAAGTTGTCAGGACGCAGATACGGTGGCAGTGAAATTTCCGCTTTTTATAAACCGTTGGTTCACATTTGTTAAAGCATTAAAATGGGAAAAATTTATTTCGTTCAAATGGTCGGCTTGCCTAGCTTTCACTAGTAGGCGCCATCACGACTCCCGAGGGTGGGAAATACAGGTCGTGACACTATCGTGGTATTTGTTAAACTTACCGAGTTTGGAGGTTTAAACATGTAAGAAAGTATCACCTCATGGTCAGGCATTCATGGCACAAAAATTCAATGGTCATACAACTATTCAAGGAACTAGGCTAAACTATATTTCTGAGGCAATTAGTAACGTCGTAAAAGAAACATAGTGTAGGGAGAATCATTAACATTCCCAAACATAGAGAGTTAGCCTCACATACCTTAACTTCCTGCTCTTGAGCATAATATAACATTCGTCAACTCTTTCAACTTTAATTTATATCAATACAAGTCAAAGGGATTCCATATTAGCATAAATTCTCATGTTTTAGTTTAAGTTGAATGAGTTTTGGTGCTTTAACTCTCTCTCACAATTCATGCACGATATCACCCTTCGTGCTTTACACTCTTCCTCACCCAAACAATAGAAACAATAACATCACGGCAAGGAAGCATAAGGCTACTATTCTACCTTCAGAGGTTAAACGCTACCTCCATCTACATTCGCATCTGCATTGCATAAGGCTACCATTCTGCCTTCCAATCTGCATAAGTCTCTCATTCTGCCTTCCGAGACTAAACGTTGTCTCCATCTGCATCTGCACGGCTGAAAGATTTTGACCCACACCGTATAAATTTGACCAAGTGGATTAGACTTCTTTTGTAAAAATTTTGTAATTACCACAAGGAATATGTCTAGCATGTGTAAGAATCAAAAAGTGAGTATATTGATCACCGATCTTAGTTATTGATGATAAAGTGATCACAGAAAAGTAATAAAATCAGGTAAATCTAAATGAAGTCGAAAAGGTCTTAGAGATTAGGGTTACAGAAGAACCCAAAAGCAACGAGAAAAGCCTTGAAAGTTACCGATCTAACCAGGAGATTCAAAGGCTGTGAGTGTGTCTGTGATAGTAAGGCAGCTCTACAGATTGCAGCCAATCCCATATTTCACAAAAGAACAAAGCATATAGAGATTGACTG